ATGAAGTAGAAACATGTCTGACATCATGATGCAGCTCTAAATAAGAATATATATGAAAAGGCATAAAAAATGAGGCAACAAATAAAATCTTTGGGAAATAATGTAAGCATGATTTGAAAAGATAATTATAGGCAAAAAAAGCAAAAATAAATGTAGCAACTGGAAGAGCAGAAAAATTATGCAGCAATTAACAAGAATTCTTCATTCTTAGACAAAAAATAACTGACTCCAGATTAAAAATGAACCCTGACTAAAGAAATGTTTTATTGGCGAAGTGTCTGAGACGTTTGTCCAATGTACATAGCAGACAGACACTTTCGGCACATGATAGCATAAATTATATTTCTGGATGCGCAGGAATATGTGTTCTTGATCTTATAACTCACTTGGTTAGGTCCAATAATGGTATCAGCAGAATGAATATGTGGACAAAGCTGGCAACGGGGTTTGTTGCAAGGGAAGGTACCAGGGTTGGTATTAGTGTGGTATGTCCTGTGGTGGTTGGTAAGAATCATCTTGAGGTTAGGTGGTTGTCTATAGGAGACTATGGGTCTGTCTCCCAGAGCCTCTTGGAGTATGGTATCCTGTTCCAGTATAGGCTGTAGTTTATTGATAATGTGTTGGACAGGTTTAAGTTGGGGGTTGTAGGTGATGACAAGTGGTGTTCTATTGTTGGTTTTCTTGGGTCTGTCTTGAAGTAGATGGTTTCTAGGTATTCGTCTGGCTCTTTCAATTTGCTTTTTTATTTCTCCGGGTGGGTAGTTGAGGTTTATAAATGCTTGGTAGAGATCCTGAAGCTTCTGGTCTCTGTCAGTGGGATTAGAGCAGATGCGGTTGTATCGAAGGGCTTGGCTATAGACGATGGATCGTGTGGTGTGTTCTGGATGGGAGCTGGATGCATGTAGGTAACTGTATGAGTCAGTGGGTTTTCTGTAGAGAGTGGTGTCTAATTTTCCATTGTTGATTTGTACGGTGGTGTCCAGGAAGTGGATCTCTCGTGTAGAATGGTCCAGGCTGAGGTTGATGGTGGGGTGTAGGTTGTTGAAATCTCTGTGGAATATCTCCAGTGTTTCTTGGCCATGTGTCCAGATCATAAAGATGTCATCGATGTACCGTAGGTAGAGGAGGGGTGAAAGGGGACGGGAGTTGAGGAAACGTTGTTCTAGGTCAGCCATAAAGATGTTAGCATACTGTGGGGCCATGCGTGTACCCATGGCTGTGCCGCTGATCTGGAGGTATAAGTTGTTCTCAAACTGGAAATAATTGTGGGTGAGAACAAAGTTACATAGGTCTGCTATCAGGTTGGCAGTAGTGTCCTCTGGGATAGTGTTTCCTGTTCTGCAATGTGATTTGTCCTTTTCATATGTGTTCATTTTTTTTAATTGTATCTTTTGGTATATATGGTTGTGACTATTTTCTTCCACTATTTGATCTGAGGAAGTGGGTCTGGCCCACGAAAGCTCATAATCTAATAAACCATCTTGTTAGTCTTTAAAGTGCTACATAGTCCCGATAAATTACAGTACTTGATAGAAGAAGCAAAATGCAGGACAAGTACTGTAATTTATCGGGACTATGTAGCACTTTAAAGACTAACAAGATGGTTTATTAGATGATGAGCTTTCGTGGGCCAGACCCACTTCCTCAGATCAAACACGGCTACATTTCTATCACTATTCTACATGTAATTTATCTTAATAAATTATCTCAAATACAAACATGTAATCTAATTTGTTACAGATTTCTTAGTGTACCTGTGTCTTTAGAATCATGGAGTCCAACCAGTTCGGAAGCAGTAGCTACTACTGATATTGAGAACTAGCCACATTCAGCCAGTCAAATAGCCACATGTGGCTAGTGGCTAGCATGTTGGACAGCATAGCTCTAGAAACAGTTCTGTGGAATGAAAATTATTATATAATCCTTTGTGCACAATGCCGATATATTTTACTTGTAGTTTTACCAACCCACATTTCACTTACCTTTTGGAAATATATGTTTTACTCTCAGTGATAAAGCACATTAAGATAATCATCATAATTAAGAAATGTATTTAATCTCAATTGTGTCATTCTATTTAAGGTAAAAACTCTAATAATTATTATGAAAGTATCCTATATATAATAAGCTATGTGTTTTTGAGTATGAGTGCTGGATTTCATTGGAATAGGAACAATCTGATGTGAATTCATCTTGCGCTATGTCTACACTACGAACCTCTTCTGCAAGAGGAAATGCAAATGGAGTGCATCATTTGCATATGTTGCACTCTCATTTACATTTCCTCCTTGGATCCCTTTTGCACAAGTGGTTTTTGCACAAAAAAGCGCTGTGTAGTCAGCTCTTTTTTGCACAAAAACCCCCTTCTGCACAAGAGCAGTTCTTCCTCATTTTTGGCACAAAAGGGATCCGAAGAGGAAACGCAAATGAGAGCGTGACATATGCAAATGAATGCACCATTTGCATTTCCTCTAGCGGAAGAGGCTCATAGTGTAGCTGTAGCCTAAGAGTAGAGTGCAAGAGGTAATAGTGTATGTCATGCCAAAGATAATTTTTACTAGATTTACAGTAGCTGTCTGATTTGGCCTGTGACATCCATACCATGGGGAATTAATGATGCTCTATATAGGTAATATAGAGGCAAACAAATGCATGGTATATTTGTGGGTGTACTAATGTTTCATAGATGTATAATGATAGACAATTCATAAACTCATTCATTTCTAAAATTTAATCTATGAATATTCCTGTTCTTAAGTGTAGACCCATGTGTACCTTTTATATAGTATCTTTCCCACAGAGGGATCCCAGAACACATTGTAAAGTATAGTTTGTAGAGAGATCAGTCACACACCAGTGAAATGTATCCATCTCTTCATAGAACAGGGATTCAATCTGCCACAGCAGCATTACATAATCGCTTTCAGGCAATTAAATTAATAATTTTTCCAATTGAAACTAGAATGAGGCTTTTGGGTAGGCAAAATATAAACCACCCACGTTAGAATACAGCCATCGTTCTGGACAGAATATCTGGTCTGGATGATGGAATCTCCAATAGCACGATGTCAACTAGCAGCCTCATGCTTGTTTAATATTCACTCTGCATTTCAGTTGTTAGATCTCTACTCTTTTAGATGGAATCTCCCAGTGTGTTATGAATCTTCAGTTGCCTTGGGTGAAGGAAAAGCACATGGTTCTAAAAAAAGACACTGGCTTTCCCCTCTGCTAATGGGTGTTGCAGATGACAAATGAGACACTATGGGCACGTCTACACTAGCCCCCTAGATCAATCTAGGCAGGCTAATGAGCGTGACCAGAATTGCAAATCAAGCCCAGGATTTAAATATCCCGTGGTTGATTTCCATGTTCCCGGCCAGTCGCCATTTTAGAAATTGACTAGCCTGAAGTAACTGCCCACGTCTACACACGGCAGTGAAACTGTCTTCCGATTTAAAGCCCCTAATTCGAATTAGGTGGTAAACTTCATTGCAGGAGGAATACCAGCTAATTCAACTTAGGGCTTTAAATCAGAAGCCCATTTCACTGCCGCATGTAAACGTGGGCGGTTACTTCGGGCTAGTCAATTTCTAAAATGGTGACCAGCTGGGAACATGGAAATCAAGCGTGGGATATTTAAATCCTGGGTTTGATTTGCAATTCCGGTTGCCCTCATTAGCCTCCCTAGATCGATCTAGGGGGCTAGTGTAGACGTACCCTATGATTATCATATCTCTGTATTGCTGTAGAAGGTAAATGATGAACAGTGCAGCTTAAGGAGCCGATGGGGGTTTGCAGGCCTCTCTTTCAGTGCCCCCACTCCAAGGGTTTCTAGTCCTCCTCTTTAGTAGATGAGTTTAGGGTGAAGGACCCTTGAACCATCAGTCTTTTCAAACTGGGGAAGTCTCTTAGGCTGTGTCTACACTGGCGGATTCTTGCGCGAATACGGCCACTCTAGCACAAAAATATGCTGTCTGTCTACACTGGCTGCGCGTTCTTGTGCAAGTAAACTGACGTTGTACTGTAGAAAATCAGTGCCTCTTGCGTGAGAACTCTGACGCTCCCTCTCAGCAAAAAGCCCTCTTGTGCAAGAGCTCTTCCAGAAGAGGGCAGTGTAGACAGGCAACATGAATTTCTTGCGCAAGAAGCCCCTATGGTTAAAAAGGCTATCAGAGCTTTCTTGCGCAAGAGAGCATCTCCACTGCCATGGATGCTCTTGCACAAAAGCACCTCTCTTGCACAAAAGCACATGCCAATGTAGAAACTCTCTTGTGGAAGACTTTTTGAGCAAGAACTCTTCCGCAAAAGAGTTCTTGCGCAAGAAGCTGTCAGTGTAGACGTAGCCTAATTACTTTAGGCTTGTCCTTTTGGAGTGGTTAAGGGAACTTGGGCCTGCCCTCTCCACTGGCTCTGGTCCATGGCCCAAAGGTGGAGTTTTAAGCCACTGCCTCTCCCAGCCCACATTCTGTCCCAAGTTTGCTTCAGCTTCCCCAAATAGGTTACTCCATCCATGTCCCTGACCTGCCCACTACCTTTGTGGGTTTTCACAGCCTCTGTTGTCAGGCCCTGGCAATGAATCCTGGGGAGAGCTTTCCCCCTCAGTGCAACTATCATCCCCCTTCCAATGCCTGCCTCTTATCAGCTCTGCTCCCCTTTTCAAAGCCCTGCCTGTGCAGACATTGCAGGTGTGTCTGTGTTGGGTGGCATGGGCCCTGAGCTGTTCTTTAACCCCTTGCATGCCTATGTGAGGTTTGTACTTTTCATTCAGTGGCCTCAAAGCACTTACAATTCACTGGTTTAACCTTTATAACTTGCATGTGGGGTAGATCGGTGTGATCTCCATTTATCAGTTAATTGTCCACAGTGATGGTCACCATTTAAAGACTTTTAATAACTATTATTGATAAGCTTATCGTTTAAGTGAGATGTTGATTAATAACAGTTATGATTCATAAAATGCAAAGATTGTGTTATTAGTGTATTGTATCCTTTTCTTTTAGGTTACTCAATACTTCAAGCTATTATGGAAAAAGCAGGACAGAATAGCTGGCAAGTCAGTGCCATATGTGTGGAGAATTTTAATGATGCCAGCTACAGGAGGCTTTTAGAAGACTTGGATCGAAGACAAGAAAAGAAATTTGTTATAGACTGTGAAATAGAGAGGCTTCAGAATCTTTTAGAACAGGTAATACCACTTTTTAATGTCAATGTAAACCCATTACTATAGTTCCACAAGAGTACCCTCATAGCCCTTCTTTTATTTTTGACTGTCAGGACAAGTTTTCCCCAAGATTTATTCAGAGGCCATTATTTTATCTACACTTTCTCTCCATCTTGATATGAAACTTCCATCCCAGCAGCCAATGGGTCAAAATGAATAGCCACTTCTGAGACATCAGGCAATGGCTATACAGCTCAAAGATCAGCCCAGAGCTCTAACACACAAGTGCTGGGGGAGTCTTGAACCAAAGTCGCTTGGATGGCAGAATAGCACCCTGAAATATTTGGGGGAAGCTCTATGGCCTATGCTACACAGGAGGGCAGACTAGATTGTCGCAATGGTCTTTTCTGACATTAGAATGTATGCATTTAATTTTAAAAAAATATATAATTGAGATGCTAGTTTTGTTTGAAGAATTTTGCTTATTTTTGTCCTGGTTTATTTACTTTTCTCCAAACAGCAGAGACAACTTATTTCCAGCTGTGCAAAGTCTTGAAATCCTCATTATACATTTAAAAGGGAAGTTTTATTATCCATAGATAATAAAATGGAAAAGAGTGAAATAAATGATCTTGTGGACAAGGGATGAAGGGCACTTTCTTCCTTAGTGATGGAAGTCAGCAATTATGTAAAGGCAAGACTATGAGCTTGAGTATCTGGTGCCTGGTACTTTGTACAGGCATTTACATATGTGCCAAGTGAGCTTAAAATGTTATCATTCTGGAAATCTGGCCATTTATGTGTCTCTCTGTGGGCTATTTCTTAAGTGACAGAAAAAATAATAGTTAGAAACAAACAAAGTGTTAGGAAAATAACTTGAGGAAGTATAGTCTTTTGTGTCTCACGTAACTCACATATTATGCTGATGCTGTGCAGTATTCGCTGCCACGATGTGAGAACTACAATGAATGAGTGCCATCTAGTGGGACTAAATTCTGTTTTATTGCACTACTGGATTTATTTTATTTCTGTATTTATTTTTTATTGTGCAAAAGGTATTTTAGGAGTCTGTAAAGTTTTTATTGCCTAAAATTCTAGTGATGCAGATGCTGGAACGGGTAGCTAAGTATAAAATGCTATTTGTGATTCAGAAATATGCAATAGCGTTTTTTTCTGAAAACCATTAGAGATTAATTTTTTAACAGAAGAAACAAGAGAAAGAAACTAAGAATTAACGATAAGGCACTTCTAAATTTCACAAGGATTGTTTCAAATAGGTGACTCCATACATATTAATTAGGCCAAATTTTTTGCTACTGTGCGATTGTATTTTAATGCACACTTTCTATATCTTATAATCGAATCCTTCTCTTATCCATTCTCTTCTAAAATAAAAACAGAAAAGGATTATTTTAGGACTGTTATTAAAGTGTGGAGTGAAACAATGATTTCCCCCTGAGTAGTGGGGAAAGAGAGAGATTGTTCAAACCCTGGAACAGTTGGCTTATAGAGAGAGTTTTATATGTCCATATACATAGTTGTAGCAGATTTCTACATTATCTCATAGATCTGTTGATCACCTATTGCTTTAATAGCAAGGAAATACAGGTTGAACCTCCCAAATCCAGGAGTCTCTGGCCTGGCAACATCCCTGGTCCGGAGGGCCATGGATATTGCTTGACCAAAGAGCACCAGAGACAGCAGTGGGAGACAATGTGGGAGCTCGGGAGCTCAGGCTGGACCAGCAGTGGCTGCACCAGACAGCAGCTGTGGAGCCCCGGACCTGACCGGGAAACCCCTGATGTCAATGGGACCAGGCATGGCTGGGGAGCCCCCGCCCCAGCAGAGGAATCCTCCGAGTCAGCTGAGCCAAGAGTCTGTGGAATCCCAGCCCAGATGAGATCCCTGTCTGCAGAGGGGCTGCCATGATGGGAGACCTGGCCAGGGAACCTCCAGCAACATCAGGGCCAGTGGTGGGCAGGCAGCCACTGCCAGAACTCCAGGAAATCCCCAATGGCAGTGGGGCTGAGGTGACTGGGAAGTGCCAGCCTAGAGCGCCCCAGCTCAAGAGAAGCTGGTGGAGGTGAGCAGCCCCTCCAGGGAACCCCAGGGAATCTCCAGCTGCAGCAGGGCCTGCCCTCGCAGAAGGGCAAGGTAGCCAGGTGTCCCCTTCCAGGGAATCCCAGGAACACCCTATGGCAGCAGGGCTGCAGCAGCTAGGCAATCCCAGCTGGGAATCCCGGGAGACACTGAGGCAGCCTGCAGGCAACAGCATGAGGGGCCCGTGCTGAACCACCATTAGAGGGGCACGAGCAGCCCTAGACTAGCTGCCAGCAACTGGCGCCCTAGGCTAAACATGCAATTGGCACCCCCACCTCTAAACCACTCAATGATATTGCACCACCATTTGGCGCCCCATTTAACTTGGCACCCTAGGCAACCGCCTCGTTCGCCTATATGGATGGGCCGCCCCTGTAGAGGGGCCAGAACAGGGCAGGAATCCCCAGGGAGAGAGGCCTGGGAGCAGGCACCCAGCAGGGGAGCACTGACCTCCCCTTGTCCCGCAAACTCCCTGGTTTGGGACAATTCAGGTCCTGAGGGTGCTGAACTAGGGAGATCTAACCTGTACACATTTTAGTGCATGTTCCTAGTTTGATCCTGATCTCACTGATACTGACTTTACACTGGTGTGATGCCATTGACTTTTAGGAGCCACTCTTGAATTTCATCTTAGCAACTGAGATTGAAATCCTTTTTAGAACAGTTTGAACTCTGTCTGGGTAGGCTTAGAGTCTAGTTCTTCACCGCTACAATTAGTGGAAATTTTGCCATTTACTTTAACAGGACTAGGACTGCCCTTGGGTTATGTTGTATGGTAGATAACTCAAAGTGGTGGCAATTTAAAATATCAGGCCCTGACTTCTTTCATTTTTCATGAGGCTTCCGGTAGCCTGTAGATGAAAGATGTGGTAACTTCACAGAAGAGGAATTGACTGAGTCTCAAGCTGCCTAATTGATTCAATAGGCCTTTTCCCCAGACTATTTGAAAAATGAAGTTTAGATGTGTGATGTACAAGTCTATGTCCTGTAGTGTATATTAGCAGAAGTTAAGTCTTAGTAAAATTAGACCTCAGTACAAATTGTTCTGCTCTTCAGTTTTTGCTGCCTAAGTGTGAGAAACTGACTTATTTGTGTGTATGTAAATTAAAGTGTATAAAAGAAGTGTAGGCTAAATTCTGAACCAGTGGTGGGCAACCTGCCTCATGCGACCCATTGGGTTGTAAATGTGGTTCACAAGACATTTTATTATTGCCCTTGCACGGGGTTGCCAGATTCTGTTCGTTTTCATCCACATAGTTTTTTTTCCTACTGGTATTACAAAAGTGGCACGCACATGCAGCAAGGGTACGAGAAGTGAGGTGTGTGCTGATTGCACACAATATTGTTGTGTGCTCCCTTTGCAGCCAGACAAAGCACTGCTATGGTTCAGTCAGCACACCCTGCAAATTCTAGGTATGCACGTATAGTTAGCAAAACTGTCTCCTACCCTCAGAGACTGATTTTGGTAATGATAATCTTGCAGCCCACTGAGATGGGAGGGCCACTCATATAGGCCACTCACTAGCCTGGGTTGCCCCTCACTGTTCTGAACAGTTCTTCTTAAAAGGAGACGTACAATATTCTGTATGTCCTATCCTGAGAGAGCTGGGATTCTGGTTTATGGTGAGTCAATTAGCTGTGTGAACACAAAAGTAAATATAAAGAGAAGTTAATTGTAGATAGATAAATAGCACTTTTTCCATGCTATTCAGAAGGTAGCTCTGAAAACCCAAGTACAATGATTGCTAGGGTTGAAAAGGAAAACAGGATTCTGATACTGCATTTGGAGAATAGGGAACAAGAAAATACTAACTCTTTTATGGATGTATAATGACTTAATTAACTTTTGGGGGCATTCCAAAGAATCATCCTGTCCAAAAACCTGATGCTCGTGGTATGGTACAAAAGCCATGGTAGAAAGCAAGAACAGCCCTTTGTGATCTCGACAGACAGGTACAGGATACAAATGGATTAGAAGGAAGTTGCTTCATAGTTAACACTCCGAAATAAGTCCAGCTTTAGTTTAAATTAAGCATATTTGCTATGGCCTGAAATAAGACACTATTGTTTTTGACTTTCACAGTTCCCAGAGATCCACTTTATCCAAATCTATTTCACAAGCTGCTCTTTGTAAGATTTAAATTAGACTTATTTGTCCTGTAATGTGTCCTCATAGGAGATGACCATCTGATCATCTTCCTGCTTCTCATCTGAATCCACAGGCACATGTTAGCAGGTATAAAATAATTAACTTTCACTCTCCATCCTCAGTTTACATACACGTGTATTACTAATTATTACTTAGCTGACCTTTTATTTCATTTACATTTACACAGCCATCAAAAACAGCCAATATGTTTTCTGTTGAAAATTGTAAATGGAGATGTATACTAATACACTTATTCACTTTGCCCAAATACTATGATAATGAGGTGGAGGGGAAATATTCCTAGTCCAAAAAGTTTTTATTTTTTCGTATTGAATATGACACTTGACTGGCATATTCATTTTATAGTTTTTAGATATGTATCTGATGCACAAAATGTCAAGTATTTATCTCTTAGGGATACATTTGCAAAAATGTTGTTATTGTTCTTTATCTGTAATACAGTAATGTCTGGTATCTCCCTCTGGGATCAGGATCATAGGATGCTGACCTAGGTGTTGTATAAACACATAGGGAGAAACTGTCCTGATCCAAAGGAGCTTGCAGTTTAGAGAGACAGAATAGAAGAAGGGAAAGGGAAACAGAGAAATGGGAAGTGACGTTGCTAAAAAGTTGGCAGCAGGACCAAGGGTTACTGACTCTCAGTCCAATTCCACAGCTTCATTCTACCTCATGATTTTACCTGTGCCGATTCTGTGAACAATTATGCTTTCGATCAAAGGGGTTTAAGAGCACAAACTTTTTTTTAATTTGAGGA